GTACTACTTCGTGGTGCTGTTATGGCCAATCCGTTAGTATCATCGAGATACAAATTGCACAGGTAAAATGTACGCCCGAAATATCTTCTAGATGTACGATGTTAAGTGCTAAAGCAGTTGAATGTGCCTGTTCGGATCCGCCATCATTTCCATTCACCTGCTGGACACCGCTTGGTGTTAGCCGCGAGGCTAACGTTGTGCGGCCTACGGAGACTGCAACGCCTTGTTGCTAACAAGGCTTTGTTGTTGATGGGTGCGAGTGCGCATGGTCAAAACTACGCCACATAAGTTGCATCACTTATCGATTCTGACTAAATGTTGATTAGTTTTAGACGGGCATGGCTTGGTCATGCTAATACAGATTGTTAACCCATTTTTATGTCCAATCTGCATTCGGGAGGCCCTTGATCGGAGGGCTTGTCCACACATGGCCGGTGCGCAGCTGCAGCGGATGGTGGCAACTGCTCACCGATGTGAGAAAGCAACCAAACTATTGTCAGACTAGCTGCTACACATTGTTTTACACATACGCGAGACAACAACTTCGTGAATGCTCGTGGGGAAGTCTACAGCACGCTTCGACTTTAGCCGAAACAGCCACGATATTCTCCGTCCAGCCTCTGTTTCCTTCGCTTGGACATTGGTCATTCCTTCTTCTCAGACACACACGCGAGATTTTCGTGACGAGGGAGTCTTCGCCCGAGTTAAGGGTAAGGGCATATGTGCGTTTGGGGAGCTCTCTGTCTGTGGGAAACAGCAACAACAGGCTTATAAGGCCCTTACGTTATTTTCTTGGTTCCTCATCGTGTTTTCTTTTATCAGTCTGTGGTAAAATATATTGAGTTAGCCAGTCCAATGTCACGTGTTCCCGATTTTAAACGCCTCGCATTTGCTTCCAGGTCGACACGAACTATGTTCCTCTTCATTTTGTAACTTGGGTGCGTCGTGGTCTCTCAGAGCGCACCTTGGGCCACTACGACATCTCACTCCAACCAGCAATATTACCAGTCATATCTCATCACGACGAACTCAGCATTAACTCACTCCCACCATCTGCCTCTGCACCGCACCCTGGCTAACAGCCGGACCCGAGCGCCTTCCCACCCCTGCCAGACTCCGGCTTCCCTGACCCGAGCACCGTCCCACCCCTGCCAGATTCCGGCTTCCCTGACCCGGGCGCCGTCCCGCCCCTGCCAGACTCCGGCTTCCCTGACCCGAGCACCGTCCCACCCCTGCCGACCTTCGGCTTCCTTGACCCCGGCACCGTCCCGCCCCCGACAGACTTCCCTGACCCGGGCGCCATCCCGCCCCCGCCGGCCTCCGGCTTCCCTGACCCGAAAACCGTCCCGCCCCTGCCAGACTCCGGCTTCCCTGACCCGAGCGCCGTCCCGCCCCTGCCAGACTCCGGCTTCCCTGACCCGAACACCGTCCCGCCCCTGCCGGCCTCCGGCTTCCCTGATCCGAGCGCCGTCCCGCCCCTGCCAGCCACCACCGGCGGCGGGTCGGCTGACATCCCTGATCCGAGCGCCGTCGTCTCCGTGCGCGCGAGCGCCGCCAGCGTCTCGCGGAAGCCGCGCCGGAACGTGTAGTTGGTCAGGCCGTACACCAGCGGGTTGAGCGCGGCGCTCGCGTACATGAGGTAGTGCGCGGCGTACCAGAGCGCGCGGAGCCGCTCCGTCACCGCGTCGGCGGTGTCCGGCAGTCGGTACCGCTGGATGACGACGACGGCGAACGGCGTCCAGCAGACGACGTAGACGGCGGTCGCCGTGCAGAGCATGACGGCCACCCTGTCCCGCCCGCGCGCGGCGGCTGGCGCGCCGGCGCCGCCGCGCCGCGCCGCGCGCCTCGCCGCCGCCTCCAGCCGGCAGAAGATCCAGGCGTAACTGACGAGGATGGCGGCGACCGGCAGCCAGACGAGCAGCGCACCCAGCGTGAGCCAGTACACGCCGAGCTGCTGCTTGTCCTCGGTGCAGAACTGCTCGCGGAAGTTGCGCCACTGGCGCTGCCGGTAGTGGCGCCAGAGGAGGAGCGGGCTGGCGAGCGTCGCCGCCGCCGCCCAGAGCGCCAGGCTGAGCCGGCAGGCGCCGGCGGCGCTCAGGCGCGCCAGCGGCGGCGCCGCGATGGCCAGCAGGCGCAGCAGGCTTACCGCCACCAGCGTCAGCGCCCCCACCACCGTCAGCGTCAGCATGATGAACCCCTCCGCCTTGCACATGGCGGCACCGAGCTCCCAGTTCTGGAAGAAGTCCTCGACCATAAGCAGAGCGGGCAGCAGGGTGGTGGTGAGCAGGTCTGACACAGCCAGGCTTGCCAGAAGCACGTTAACGGGCGTGCGCATGTTCCGGTGCCGCGCCACGAGGAACAGCACCAGCCCATTACCGAGCAGCCCAAGCACCGCGACGGGGACGGAGGCGATCACCTTGACAGCGATCTGGCCGGCGGGGCGCACGCGCCAGATGGGGCGCGGGAAGTCGTGCTGCCAGAACGGGAAGTCGGCCGACGAGAGCGAGCCGTTCAGCAACGGCTGCGGATGCCAGCGCAGGTCCGTGTCGGTCGTCTGCTCAAACACTGGCTGAGCGGCGGCGGCAGCGGCGGCGGCGGCTGCGGCGGCGGCGGCGGTGGTGGCCGGGCCCTCCAGGGGCGTGGAAGCGGCCATCGCAGCGAGACGCGAGCGCAGGCCGGCAACAGTGGCTCGGAGTCTGGCGACGCGCTGGAGGTCTTATCGTGGCCTTAGATGATTTCGCTGTTGTTTTTCCTGGTTGCTCTTCAGCAATTGGCGACGAATCGATTCTTTTCGGCAAGAGATGTTTCACGTAGTTCGGTTATGCCCAAGCAGTCGACGCTGCATGTGAAGACTCGGCCATTTTCCAACCCAGTCTTCACGCCGTCCATTTCCGAAATCACATCGATCTGATCTCCTTCGATGCCTAAGGGCTTCCAATCAGACTACACGCCTGTTTTTCTTCGTCACCAAGCTGCAGCCTGCCCAGCGCGGTTCCGTGGCCACTGGTCAGCGGCCTCCGGGTCTCTCGGCTGGGAAGCCACGTGCCGACCGAAACAGCGCCTCTCTTCGAACGGCCGCTGCGCGAGGCGATAGTCGGAGCCGTGATGGTCACTTCGCTCCGACCTCGAGCAGCTCCACCCGGGGATCCGTGCGTTGCCGACTGAGATACGCCGTGCCGCCGCCCGCAGTTTTACCCCCGGGCCTGTGTCGATCTGTTGCTCATCAGGGGCGGATCCAGGCACGGCCCTCGTGGGTGCTGTCATTCGATCCGCGGGCGTCAGTGGTGCGCGGCGAGAGCGCTCCGCTTGATGGCGATTTTTTACAATATTACCTTTCCGCGGCTCGGACTTCTCTCGACCCGCTGCCGCCTGGACTGCGCGCGGTCCCTCGACGCGGAGGTCAAACGCAGGCGGGCTGAGGGCCCCGGCCAATTAGCCACGATAAGGATGTGGAGAGGGTCGCGGAAAAGGTCGCGGAAAGGTCGCGGAGAGCACGCGGCACAGCTGGCTGGCAAAGTGCCGTGTTTGCTGACAGCACATACACGTGATGGGCCGACATATGACATTGTAAAGGAGTGTAAATGGCGCTCTGTATCATAAACGGATAACTTATGTCAACAGGCCAGCGGACGTACTATTTCTCTAGTCATATTGAAGCCTTAAGTTGCGCGTTGGAGACCTAAAACCCGTGCAGCGCCAGTGCGTCATGATATTTCCAGCGGCAACTACAGCCATATCGCCAGCCGACTTCTTCTGCTCCTGGTGGGCTGCACAGCCGTCCGCCCCGCACCAAGTGAGCAGCACAGGGAGAAATCCGCCGTCACATCGCGGCTAATTGGCAGGCAAAACACTTTCTGCTGCTCCTGGCGGGCAGCACAGCTGTCCGCCCTGCACCAAATAAGCAGCACAGGAAGAAGTCCGCCATCACATCGCGGCTACTTGGCGGGTAAAACGCTGAAGGATGCCTGCCGTTGATTGAAGTCAAGTTCGGTTCTCTCAATACCGTTCCATATTTCACTGTCGCCTCAACTTTGATGTCCTGTTTGGCATCTCGCTCGAAGTAATCCACCAATCTGCCGAGACGTCATTCTCAAAACTGAACTGTGAAGCATTAACATTGTTTGGTCAGCAGCCAATAGTAATCACACATTCCGCAGGGCCACCGAACGAGACGACGAAACGTTCCCAAAGCCCAGCACGCCGGTAACAATCTTGAGCAATGCTACGTACGTACCATCGTTGAAGTAATTCCGGTTATGGTGCCTTGACGTAGATCAGCTCGGAAACAGCACAAGCATCCTATTGAGTCACCGCCTAAATCCCAATTTATAAGATACGTGTTGAGTGTATTTATCATAACTGGAGTGACTAAGCTGCCCCATACGACGGCAACATGACTTCCGCTACGAGTGACGAGCCCGCACCAAACGCAAACAGCTGAAGCGTAACCAACACACACACGCACATACCTGCGACCCGCCAAGTACGAAGGCAAAAACGCACCACACGAGGTAGTCTTATACAGTACTTGGGGCCCAACGCTACTTAGCAAAAACACAGCCGGACTGAGCAATCGTCGCACTGCTGCTGGAAGCGTATTGTTGCGGACGTTGCGATCACACGGGCTGTGCTTCACTGGGGAGGAGGGGGTGGGTGGAGAATAATAGTAGTTATACGAGGTCGGAGGCTGCAGCATCTGTGCCTCTAATCACACAATTCAGTTCCATGCCGCTTTCCAGAGCAGTAATGCGGGGTATGCTCCGAAATGTGGAGATGTCCCTGACATTGCACCAGATACATACACCGCCTATCTCTCGGTCCATCACGCAATATCGCTAAGCGGTCTACAAAAGTACGAACTGGAGCTGTCCACACAGCCCGTCACCACCAAACCCCCGAACATGCAGCCCCCAGCCGGCGCCCTCGCAGACCGACGCAGCCACGCCCAGCTCGCGGCAAGGCTGACCCACAGCCCCGCCACGCGTCCGTGTAGCCGGCGGACAGCTGACCCGAACCGTGGCCCGCAGCGGCCGGTCACGTGCAAGCGGCGCCGGCGAGACGGCCAACGCGCGACTAGAAGAAATGACGGATCAATCGGCTGACGAATCGGACCCAGAGCGGCACGAGGCGGTCGGGACGCGCGAATGTGCTGCCATCTACTGGTGTGGAGTGAAGGAAGAGCTTGCGGCGCTCCTCCGCCAGGGCAAGTCGCAGCGGTTCGTGCCGCGTTACCATGACGACCTGCGACTCCAGGTCGCGGTAGGTGGAGCGGTAGCCTGCAGACGACGAGAAGACGTCATTAAGAGTTTGATTAGGTTCGAGTCGGAATGAATCTCAATATAAAAATAAATCCTGGACAGGGTGGTAATCTCTGAAGTCTGAGGCCGAGTCTGGGAACCTATCGGCTTCAAACAAGGCACAATGGGTCGTACAAGACCCGTTGACGTCCTGACGTTACAATGAGCGAGTATTGCGAAAAATAATCAATGTAAGCAATCGTTGGGTTTTTATGCAGCACCCAGTGCCTGATACACGGATTTACGTAAACGTCAAAACCAAGCCAACGCAGCCGATCTCAACCAAAAGATGAACCGGAAGCCGACGTAACGAACTTAATCTGCTGAATCTAGCACAATCAAAAACAAAAAAGAATCTAGGTCCGATTTTACTTTTTCGCTTTTGATTTGTTCCGTTGGCAAGTGATCTATCCGTAAATCAACTTGGCTGATTTCAGCACAGGTAAAAATGATAGGACAACGAATAGCAAGTGAGACGACGGAGACGAGGTATGAGGCGGATCAACTGCAACAAATTTTCCCGTCAGCTGTTGAACGAAGGGTGTGGAAAAAGGATAACAAAACGCTCTGTTCTGTTCCTCCAAACTCAAAACGTTTTCTATCCCGTTATCCCAGACCAAGGCAACCACAGCTGCGAAACGCCAATTACGTGCTTTCTAGTTTAGGCAGTCATTTAGATGGCAGGTTGTCCTCGGTGGCAACGTCTCACAGGACAGCTTTCATGCAAATCAGTAGACACAACAGGCTAGCCAAAGTTATCCGCTCCTATAGCTGTAACTGATGCAAACTTGAAGCTACAACAAAAACGTCACAGGAGCGAGTTATTGACGAGTCTGAACACCCGTGCAGAGGACAAAAAATGCATGGGGGAGGGGCGCCTCTCACGGTCCAAACAAGACTACCTGCCTCTGCGGCCGGCGCCCTGAGTCTCCGTATCTACAATCAGCCCCACATCCAGTGACGCCACGCCCAAACTAAGTGACGTCACACCCCAAACCCAGTGACGTGACGCCCCAAACCAAGTGACGTCACGCCTCAAACCCAGTAACGTCAGACCCTGGACCCAGTGCATCACGCCCCAGCACTGCACACGCCAGCGCTCCGGCCGACCGGTCTGACTGGGCGCGATAGTTCAGTGCGACAGCGGCCCGGCGGGGCGGCAACTGACCGAAGTTGGACGATCCGATCACGGTGGCGGAGGGGGTGTCCTCGCCCGCCGCGTGACACCAGAGGCCCTTGCTGTGGAACGTCCATCTGCCGACACATTCAGAGCCGACACTCAAAGGCGGCCATGCACAATGTCACTTGAAGGAAACAATTTTCGGACTTTTACTCTCTCTGGAACAGACATTTATATTTATTACTTATATTTCATTTATACTTCTTTTTGTATTTTTCTCATTTGCCTGCACAGTATCACTTAAATTGAACTGTTTTGGTTTGCAATAACTTCGCAACACTACCTCAGCTTCCCTTTTAATTGGGTCAGACACACTTTTCATTGTTAAGCAAAATCTCTGTAGTCTCTTGGGCCCAAATTGTGTGTTAAATGCATATCACAGCCTACTTGTGGTTGATTGACACCGACGAAAATGCTGCCGAGATCCCGAATTCGTTACCGAAACACACTTGCAGCCATCACTGAGCGCCACAGTGAACCAAGCGCGAGTCCCCGTCTCCGAACCACGCTTCCACCATTCTACGCGAGCCAGCCGACCTACGCCTCGCACCCGCGCGACCCGTACCCCGGCCGGCCTGCACCTCGCACCCGTGCGGCCAGTACCCCGGCCGCCTCGCACCCGTGCGGCCCGTACCCCGGCCGCTGATACTCGTGAAGAGTGACGTCACTCTGTCGGCCGAGCGCCCGGTGGAAGCGCTGCAGCAGGTACGTGTAGGCGGCCGGGATGTAGCCGGACAGGTCCCGGGCGCGCAGGAAGCCGTTGGCCTGCGAGGTACGGCAACAACATCCGCCTGATGAGACCGGGTGGACACTGGACGCAGGGGTACGGCGGGGGGGGGGGGGGAGGTCTGCGTTCGAGAGGCGCATGTTCGGTCAGCACAGCCGGTGCATGGTGTTTGGTCGGGAGGCTTTCACTGGTCCAGGTTCCGTCAGCACGCGACACGGGAATGACCTTTGCCGTCAAGGAAATCATTATCACGCGTATGCAGCACAGGTGCCTTCGAGCTCCAAGCAGCCCCGTACTGGAGCTTACTGCATGCCCCCTGAACCCACCAGCCAAGGGTGGCGTTTCAGTCCTTCGATGACTCAACAACGGTTCTTTTTGGCCGGATGGAACTACGGTTAGGTCTTTTACGCGCCGTCAATGCTATGACACGTCGCACCACGAAAGGTCAGCCAACTTTGGCCGGAACTGCCACCTGGCCTTCTCGCGGCGCCCGGGTTTAACAATGCACACCTTCTGGGGTTCGACCCCGTGCTGTTTGGTTATGAGTCTGTTAGATCCACCCTGGATCACGGGCGCGGCAGCCATTGATGTGCAAACACGGGCGGGGAGGGGGGGGGGGCATGTCCCCTCCCTCCCCACTTTTAGCACACAGCTCCACGGCAATGCGTGGAGAGGATCGAACTTGGCACACTACAACGTGCAGTGGGGATACCGAGCATCGCAGACCAGCGATGTATCACTGAAAGCCATGCCAAATACTGGAAAAACAACAGCACACCACAAATTGATAACACTCCACCACAGACTACGAACACCACATCAGTAAGGATGTCATGCTACAGGCTGATAACATCATACTTCGGTGTAGTACGCACTGTACCATTTACTGGATGACACTACTGGATGACACTACCATACTGGCAACAAGGAAGACTGTCCCGCAGACTGAGCGTCTGAACCACGGACTGGGAGTCCACACTGATGACCGGGAGCACGGTTTCACCTCCCAGAAGCCCCATGCCACAGTCTGGGCACATCGCACCACAGACAAGCACCGTGCGGCCCACTGAAGACGCCTCCGTGCCGGGGAAGCCCCAAACGCGGGCGAGGAGTACCGTCTGTTAACGCGTCTGCGTTAACCACCGCGCGTCTGGGAAACCAGAGGTACGGGGTTCGATTCCCCGCGGCACCCGCCCTTCCTGCCAGGGTGAGAGGCAGGCGACGCTATAAAGCCTCAGCAGCTGAGTGCGTCGTAAAGCCCCAGTGACATGACATGACACACGGCGAATAGTACCGTGGGATGAGCGCAGAGGACAGCCACGGGTCGCCGCCGGCCGGCCGTCAGCGCCGCCATGTTGGCGTCCGTCAGGTTGAAGTAGCCGGTGGCCAGGTAGGTGTCGCCTCGCAGAAGGTCCCCCGTGAGCAGGCGCCGCGTCACACTGCCGTAGACCCGGGCCGTCACGCGCTAACGTCACGGCTGCGCCAGGTTGATGCAAGGCATTGGCCGGAGAGTCCGTGCTTAGGTCGAGAGGTTCCGGGTTCGATCCCAGTTTCGGGAAACTTTCACCGGCCCCATTGCACGACGGCGTAGCGACGCTGACAGATGTAGCAGTCGTGAACGTCGAGAACCAACCTAGCGATCGCCACTGAGGGCATCTCTACTCACCGAGCAATGCTGACTGCGTCAAAATCAAGCGTCGCATGCCAAAAACGACAACAACGTGTCACACCACGAAAAACGGCAGTTTATCGCTTCGGACAGCGCCTCGCCCACAACGCCAAGATCCAGCCCCGCTGCTGACCGCAGCCACGTCCCCGGCGAGGAGGCGGCACCGACCTGTCGTCCAGATGGACGCCAACCGGCGCCAGGTTGACAGTGGGCATGACCCAGGTATCGCCGCCGGACGGCGACGGCGGCGGCGGCCGGTGGCTGCGCCAGCGCTCCAGCAGCCGCTCCAGCTCGGCCCGGGCCCGCGCCGTAAACTCGCCCAGGTCGCCCTGGTACGGGTGCACCGGCCACGACGGATGCAGCTGTCGACGGGACGCCGGTGAGGACGCGTATCACCGCGGCCGACTGTGACTTACCGACAGTATCGATACAGAGCAGGATGGATAGGCAGATATGGTAGATACAGTATGGATGGGTATACATGGCAGATACAGCATGGCTAGGTACATATGGTAGATACAGTATCGATGGGTATATATGGCAGATACAGTATGGATGGGTATATATGGTAGATACAGCATGGATAGGTACAAATGGTAGATACAGCATCGATGGGCATATATGGTAGATACAGTATGGATGGGTATATATGGTAGATATGATATGGACAGGTAGATATGAGCACGACACTCGGCTTCGCCAGCAAATGCCGTTAATAAGATAAAGCATTTAGAATCCAAGGACCGCCGTCCTCCTAGACTACTGACTGTCCAGGGGCAGGAGTTCTTGCACACTCTTCTGGATCGATATCTTTTGATGTTTCTTGGCATGAATTTGGGTACGCAGGCCTGCGGGACTTTCTATATAAGTGCGCACAAGAATGGTTTTGAAAAGCAGTCAGATACACACAGAACCCTAACACACGACAGGTAGGAAAAACAACAGCCGGACATGTGCCGATAAGCGCTGAGCCTACAGATACTCAGCTGGCACATAAGGAGTATTCGACGATAATAACTGAGCCTAAAGATACTCAGCTGACACCTGAGTAGTATTCGACACATATACGGTGTAGGTAGTGGACGAAAAAAATATTCTGACGCCAAAACGCATGACGCCCCACTCCCCCACATGCACACAACCAGCACCCCAATACCTGCGCCAATCCGAAGCACACAAACGAGATAAAACGTTGCTCCTGCTGGGATTCGAACCCGGCCTGCGCACCTGCAGCGTGTCGCGCGAGCTCAGCTGAAAGCTGAAGCGGGAGACGGCGGCCACCAGTTCGCAGTAGAAGTCGGCCAGCGTCGCCGCGCCGCGGAA